CACTCATCAAGATCAATCATGTGTAATGGACCTTTTTACAGATGTCACGCTTTTCTGATTGTTTTTCATTTAAACAAAAAATCAGCCTTGCCGCTCGATTTTTCATGGTGAATTTAGTAAATACGCAAAGATTCATTAGAATACGTTGCAAAGTCACGAAAATATGGGACGTTCGGAACTACGAGAACTTGCCAACTTTTACAAAGTAATGTATGCCAGGGGGCAAGCATCGACCCTTGGCATACATTTTTTTCTCAAAATTGGGAAGTTTAGGGTCCCATCCCCTGACTTACATTTTCTTTGCAACCGATGTTTGTCAAACTTCGCTTAGTTATTTAGGGCCCCACACTTCCATGTCTTTGCAATCGATCTTTGTGAGACTTATCTACTGACTTGGCACGACAAGTTGATCTCTGGAAGTGTGTGTTTTTTTGTTTGTTTATATGCAAGACACAAAAAATTGTTGATATTGCGTGACATCGGTTAAAAGGACTATTTCAGGATCTTTAAAAATCTACGGTAGTTATGCGCATGAACCCTTTAAATAAGTGGCGCCTTAATTTGAATAACACTAGTTATACATCCTAAGCCTCACATTCATGTGAAAAAGCCTTTGTCTGGAAACATAAGTACGATGCTAAGGATGCATAAAGACGTGTATATTCAAATTTAGTCGCCATATATGCAAAGGGTCTCTGGTGTACAGTACCAAGAATTGAAAGACAACTACACTGTACGTTGTACTTTATTAACCTTGTGTGTTACTTCAGCTAAACTTACAAACACTGCCAATGATGCGGTCAAACTTTACTAACAACTATTTTCCTTATTAATCATAACAATTACAATTTCCTCAAATGTGATTGGTTCATAAACTGGTGTATTTTGCCCTAATTAATCTGCAAAGTTGTAATCGGACAGTTACATGAGCCAATCATTTTAAGTCCTCTCCACTAAATCCACCAATCACAACATTGATTACAGTCACTATAGTAACCAATTCAAGAGACTTACTTTGTAAAATTGTGAAGGTTTAGTTTCCAGTGACTGTTTTGAAAGAAACTTAATAGCCATTTTACAAGCTATACCCATATTTTGATATTTTAAAATGCAGTGTAAAAAAGTTGTTTTTCAAATTGTGGGAAATTATAATTGTTATAATTAATTGGTAACAGGACATTGTGTCGTCCAATTCAGTCTGTAATCATACTCGTGATTGACAAATCGGACTTCCGCTTCGCGGTCGTCGGATTTTGTTACTCATTCGTATGATTACAGACCGAATTGGACTTCACTCAGTCCTATTACCATTATTAATTGCAAGCAAGAGCCATGTTGCAAGTCGCTGACCATTGTAATAACAAATCAATTACCTGCGATTTGGCAAATCTGACATTTATATAACGGTTGTCATGAAAACAACCCTACAAGAAATGATTACACTTTCCCTGTTTTTTCTGTGCTCCTTATCATTCTCCTAACATCTCACGCCCCGTCCACACTACGCAGGAGAAATTTGAAAAGGGAGTGTTCACTCCGAAAAAGAATCAAATGTTTTCCGTCCACACTAGGAAGAAATTTAAAATGCTACAATCACGTGCGGCAGAAAAGCTCAAGACGTCATCGTTTTCAAAAACCTCTGTTTTCGAAATGTTTCTGGTCACACTGAGGCCCCTCCCACACTACGCTGGAGGAATTTACTAATGTAACTATCACCGGTCATGTTGGATTGTTTTTGAGAAAACCTGGGTCAGGGAAATCACATGATTATCGTGACGTCATCGTTTTCGTAAAGCTTCGTTTTCAAAATTTTTTTCCTCCACACGGAAACGAAAACCCGGTGTTTTTAAATTCCTCCCGTTTAAAGAGCGTTTTCGAAAGGCTCCGTTTTCGAGATGGATTGGTGTGGACGGTAGGCCTCCCCGAAGGAATAAAGCTGCGTTTTCAAATTTTTCCAACGTATTGTGAACGGGGACTCACACTGACGTCTTCGTGCCACTATGGCAGCTGAAAAGGTCTGCACGAACATAAGCCGCCTAGCTTAAACAATTATGGTTTGAATGCTTTAGCAGATGCAATGTTGGTCTTACATGATTACTTCTAACTACAGAAAGTCCTATAACAAATCTCTTGTTAGGGAGCTCAAGCAACGACGACGGCGACGCTGATGACAACGTCTTGAAAAACAAATACATTTAGATTTTACTAGAGTCCCAATCTCTAAAGGAAAAGCTCTGGAAGCGAGATTGAGATTTTGTCTTGGAATTTCGAGGTTACTTGGATCTCTTCAGTTCACCTATCGGTCTAATAACATGTTCAAGTTAAATAGGTATCGGGAGTGTTAATTCCAAAACGGGAAATACGAAGAATTAGCCGTCATGGTTCACGTTCTCCAAACAGGCAGAACTTGGTTATCTCACATTGGTGTTTGGCAAAACATGCCTAAGAGTATTGTACAAAGATTTAAGCGAAAGTGCACAGCCAAAGTTCTGCTCGTTAAACCTTTTGCTTGGTGACGCTGTCGTTGCAGTTGCTGTCGTGGTTTGCTTAATCTCCCTAATTAACCAAGCTAGCTCGGGATCATACTGGAAGAGTATCGACGTTTTTGTTTTTTTGTTTGTTTGGTTTCTTTGTTTCCTTTCCTTAACGGACGTTGTTAATTCATAAGGTCAATACCTAGGGCAAATACACTGAATGGTACTGTTCTGAAGGAAAAAAGGTTTGCTAAGATCAAACCCCACTGCAATGAAAATCAATAAAATCAATCCTTACCAGTTATAAGTACAAATTCACACGAATATCCGTTGTCGAGTTCCGTGGGGTGTTCTCGCTATAATGGTCTATACTGGGAGGCTCCGCCCGAAAGTGGTACCTTTTTCAGGCTTCAGGTATATCAAAGGGTAGGAATGAAGAAATAGGGAAATCTATCATCTTGACTCCCGCCACAACGTGAACTGAACAAATAATATGTTTCTTGGATTCACATCTCTTGTGGTAATGCTTGATGTTATCTCGTAATATTGTTCATTGACATTATTTCGAGGGTTTACAGAAACGATGCAGCGTTCTTTACTGGGTATGTGAAAGGGTACCTTTCTTCAATTAAAGGTATACGACAGGGGTACCTTTTCTGTGAAAATGGCATACAAAAGGGGTAAGGGGTTGAATCTCGGGGCGAAGCCTTCCCAAATAAAGCTTTGTAGAGTACATCCTCCTCACCCTCNGGGGGGGGTGTCGAGTTTGTGTTAGTTGAAAAGTAACTGAACAAGATTAAGTTACAAAACTTGTGAAAACCATGCAAGGAAGTCATTATTAGGGTTTTCATCTGTAGTCCCTTATCGTGACAGATAACAAATACCAGCACGTAAGAAATAACAAACAAAACAGAAAAGAAAAGGAATCCAAGAGTGAGTAAGAGAAAAAACAGGCCTTGAAAATTTCATATCCAAGTCTTACCCTTTCTGACACTTGGCCGTAGGAGATCTGAGTTTGTTCACGATCCCTATTCAAAATTGTTAGAATAAAATATAGAACAATCCTTACTTACTGTTTGGTTACGCTGTCTAGGGCACTTATCAACAATTCTCAAGTCGCGGAAACTTGCGACTACCTAAGGATGTTCTCTCTGTCCTCCTTGTTTGGTTGCACACTTTAAGGATCACTCTAGCATTCTTAAGGCATTCGTCTCCTTTACTGCACTGTTTAAGAGCTTGATAAACGTTTGCTAAGTTGTAGTAGCTTCTTGCTACAACAGCGTGTACCTCGCCGAAAATCTTTTTCCTGATGAACAGTGCCTTTCCGTGATATTCTTTGGCTTCATTGTACTGTCCAAGAGCTTGATAAACACTTCCCAAGTTGTTATAATTTGTTGCGACATT